TCTGCCTACATTAGATGTCTGCCTACTCTAGATGTCTGCCTACACTAGATGTCTGCCTACACTAGATGTCTGCCTACATTAGATGTCTGCCTACATTAGATGTCTGCCTACTCTAGATGTCTGCCTACACTAGATGTCTGCCTACATTAGATGTCTGCCTACATTAGATGTCTGCCTACTCAAGATGTCTGCCTACACTACATGTCTGCCTACACTAGATGTCGACCTACACTAGACGTCTGCCTACACTAGATGTCTGCCTACAGTAGATGTCTGTCTACTCTAGATGTCTGCCTACACTAGATGTCTGCCTACACTAGATGTCTGCCTACACTAGATGTCTGCCTACATTAGATGTCTGCCTACATTAGATGTCTGCCTACACTAGATGTCTGCCTACACTACATGTCTGCCTACACTAGATGTCTGCCTACACTAGATGTCTGCCTACACTAGATGTCTGCCTACACTAGATGTCTGCCTACATTAGATGTCTACCTACATGTCTGCCTACACTAGATGTCTGCCTACATTAGATGTCTACCTACATGTCTGCCTACACTAGATGTCTGCCTACACTAGATGTCTGCCTACACTACATGTCTGCCTACACTAGATGTCTGCCTACATTAGATGTCTGCCTACATTAGATGTCTACCTACATGTCTGCCTACACTAGATGTCTGCCTACACTAGATGTCTGCCTACACTAGATGTCTGCCTACACTAGATGTCTGCCTACATTAGATGTCTGCCTACATTAGATGTCTGCCAACATTAGAATTCTGCCTACATGTCTGCCTACACTAGATGTCTGCCTACACTAGATGTCTGCCTACAATAGATGTCTGCCTACATGTCTGCCTACACTAGATGTCTGCCTACACTAGATGTCTGCCTACATTAGATGTCTGCCTACACTAGATGTCTGCCTACTCTAGATGTCTGCCTACACTAGATGTCTGCTTACACTAGATGTCTGCCTACATGTCTGCCTACACTACATGTCTGCCTACACTAGATGTCTTCCTGTACTAGATGTCTGCCTACACTAGATGTCTGCCTACACTAGATGTCTGCCTACACTAGATATCTGCCTACTCTAGATGCCTGCCTACACTAGATGTCTGCCTACATGTCTGCCTACACTAGATGTCTGCCTATACTAGATGTCTGCCTACACTAGATTTCTGCCTACACTAGATGTCTGCCTACATTAGAATGTCTGCCTACATTAGATGTCTGCCTACTCTAGATGTCTGCCTACACTAGATGTCTGCCTACACTAGATGTCTGCCTACATTAGATGTCTGCCTACTCTAGATGTCTGCCTACACTAGATGTCTGCCTACATTAGATGTCTGCCTACACTAGATGTCTGCCTACATGTCTGCCTACATGTCTGCCTACACTAGATGTCTGCCTACACTAGATGTCTGCCTACATTAGATGTCTGCCTACACTAGATGTCTGCCTACATGTCTGCCTACATGTCTGCCTACACTAGATGTCTGCCTACACTAGATGTCTGCCTACACTAGATGTCTGCCTACATTAGATGTCTGCCTACTCTAGATGTCTGCCTACACTAGATGTCTGCCTACATTAGATGTCTGCCTACTCTAGATGTCTGCCTACACTACATGTCTGCCTACACTAGATGTCTGCCTACACTAGATGTCTGCTTATACTAGATGTCTGCCTACACTAGATGTCTGCCTACAGTAGATGTCTGCCTACTCTAGATGTCTGCCTACACTAGATGTCTGCCTACACTAGATGTCTGCCTACACTAGATGTCTGCCTACATTAGATGTCTGCCTACATTAGATGTCTGCCTACACTAGATGTCTGCCTACACTACATGTCTGCCTACACTAGATGTCTGATTACACTAGATGTCTGCCTACACTAGATGTCTGCCTACACTAGATGTCTGCCTACATTAGATGTCTACCTACATGTCTGCCTACACTAGATGTCTGCCTACACTAGATGTCTGCCTACACTACATGTCTGCCTACACTAGATGTCTGCCTACATTAGATGTCTGCCTACATTAGATGTCTACCTACATGTCTGCCTACACTAGATGTCTGCCTACACTAGATGTCTGCCTACACTAGATGTCTGCCTACACTAGATGTCTGCCTACATTAGATGTCTGCCTACATTAGATGTCTGCCTACATTAGAATTCTGCCTACATGTCTGCCTACACTAGATGTCTGCCTACACTAGATGTCTGCCTACACTAGATGTCTGCCTACACTAGATGTCTGCCTACATGTCTGCCTACACTAGATGTCTGCCTACACTAGATGTCTGCCTACACTAGATGTCTGCCTACATTAGATGTCTGCCTACACTAGATGTCTGCCTACTCTAGATGTCTGCCTACACTAGATGTCTGCTTACACTAGATGTCTGCCTACATGTCTGCCTACACTACATGTCTGCCTACACTAGATGTCTTCCTGTACTAGATGTCTGCCTACACTAGATGTCTGCCTACACTAGATGTCTGCCTACACTAGATATCTGCCTATTCTAGATGCCTGCCTACACTAGATGTCTGCCTACATGTCTGCCTACACTAGATGTCTGCCTATACTAGATGTCTGCCTACACTAGATTTCTGCCTACACTAGATGTCTGCCTACATTAGAATGTCTGCCTACATTAGATGTCTGCCTACTCTAGATGTCTGCCTACACTAGATGTCTGCCTACACTAGATGTCTGCCTACATTAGATGTCTGCCTACACTACATGTCTGCCTACACTAGATGTCTGCCTACACTACATGTCTGCCTACACTAGATGTCTGCCTACACTAGATGTCTGCCTACATTAGATGTCTGCCTACACTACATGTCTGCCTACTCTAGATGTCTGCCTACACTAGATGTCTGCCTACACTAGATGTCTGCCTACACTAGATGTCTGCCTACACTAGATGTCTGCCTACACTAGATGTCTGCCTACATGTCTGCCTACATTAGATGTCTGCCTACTCTAGATGTCTGCCTACACTACATGTCTGCCTACACTAGATGTCTGCCTACACTAGATGTCTGCCTACATTAGATGTCTACCTACATGTCTGCCTACACTAGATGTCTGCCTACACTAGATGTCTGCCTACACTACATGTCTGCCTACACTAGATGTCTGCCTACATTAGATGTCTGCCTACATTAGATGTCTACCTACATGTCTGCCTACACTAGATGTCTGCCTACACTAGATGTCTGCCTACACTAGATGTCTGCCTACACTAGATGTCTGCCTACACTAGATGCCTGCCTACACTAGATGTCTGCCTACACTAGATGTCTGCCTACACTAGATGTCTGCCTACACTAGATGTCTGCCTACACTAGATGTCTACCTACAGTAATATGCGCTACACCTGTGCCCCACACACCCTGTCACCGCCGCTCTAGTCGCGGCCCCTTTCAGTGCTACCAGCAGGGAGAGATCGCTGCCCCGCCGTGGGGCTGGTGGGACGGCTGGTGGTGTCCTCCAGTAGGGCTGTCTTCTCGACCTGCAGGCCAAACCTGCTCAAATACAGCACCAACCAGTATAGCACCAACCAATACAGCACCAACCAATACAGCACCAACCAATACAGCACCAACCAATATAGCACCAACCAATACAGCACCAACCAGTACAGCACCACAGGTTGTAACCTGTTAGCTCTCCCCATCGAGTCACTATTGGTGTAGCCGACAATCTGACCTTTCCCCTCAAGGATCCCCACACGAGAGCAGCAGCAGAGAGCCTGCCCCATCACTGGCAATACTAGAACCGTCGTTTGAACAACGCGCGCTTTGATTGGTTCATTTAAACTAACCATTTTTTCCCCTTCATTTTACCCGTGGCTATTTTCATTGTATGAAAAACTCGGCCTGTTTGAACGGAGTCATTAATTACAGAGTCATTAATTACTGGGTAATTAATCATACGTACAGCTTAAATTTGAGGTCCCCGAATATCTGACGTCAGAGCCAAAGCTAGCGGGGCAAGTTTTACTCACCTGGTCGATCATCTCCACACGGCTTTGTTCATGGTGCACCTTACTGACCGGCATTAACCGGATTTTATAGACATGAGATGCAGTTATCGACCCCGAATAACCGGCATCAACCGGACATATGAGAGGCATTTATCGACCCCGAATAACCGGCATTTACCGGACCTTCTCCGACCGGTGTAGTGGTAGTGATGTGTATGATGTGTATGGTTGGGGGTGCACAAACTTTTTAAAAATATCTTTGTACATTAAAGTTTTGTTGTGCATATTTTGTATGTGGCATCATATATGTCCTCTAATACAAGGGGTTTATCCTCTAATATAACTGTTGCGTCAGGTAAATTGATATATCATGTGCTGGGATGTGTGTTCTAAACCAGGCTACAACGCGAATGTGTTGTACAAAAATAGCACGCGTGTGCTGGGGCTTCTATTGAAATTCATGTTTAAAAATACATTACGTTATCCCCCTTTAAACCGAAAATATTTCTTCCGGGCCTAGTTGAATGCAGCTTTTTAAAAAAAAAGTTTGATAGAAAGGTGCACGCTAATAAAGAAAAAAAAAAAGTTGGCAAAGAAACCCTAAGCCTATTCCATTCTCTCAGGTTCTGCTGAAGGAGAGAAGGGGGGCGCCACGCGTTCAGCACACGACAGGGCCGGGGTGGGGGTTTTGATATTTATATAATATGAATTTCTATACGGGTAGGGGAGCGTTCTAGTTTATTTTTTTCTAAAGATTTGGGGGGTGGTAGCCGCGTCCCTTTATGTTGGTAGAAGGGGGCAGTTCCAAAGTCCGGGGCACTGTGGGGCGGAGCTTAAGCGATGACAGACAGCCCGGACTCGGCCCGCCATTGGTTAAGCCGGCTCGAGGCGCATCTCCGTTGATCCCGCTGGCGGGCGATTGGGGCCCGGGCACGCGACCCCGACACCCGGGCGAGGCAGCTCATCCGCACGCGAGGGGAACGACGTCAGCGGCAGCTCGTGCCATTAGCACTTGATGCTCCGGAAGGAGAGGTTCGTCTGCCTGCGTCGCCCGTCAAACTATTTTTCTCACTTGTTAGTAGGACCAATATCGATTTTTTTAAACTGTTGATCATTCATTTTTTAATAGTGCGTATTGGCATCTGGATTCAATCATTTGGATTAAACTCACTTGAACATTTAAGCAATTGTTTTGACATCAACTTGTTGAGTGTTTGATTGTTGCAGTGTTGGGAGCTTGATTAGAACCATCAACTTGTTGAGTGTATGCTTGTTGCCATGTTGCGCCTTTGATAAGAAACGTATTGACTGTTTGATCTCTGACTTGTTGCAGGTTGGGACCGCCAGCAGGCCGAAGCTCGAATGCCTGTAGCCATAGCCATGGCTTCGTCCAAGCTGACCCCCAGACAGCCACAGCCGACCATCCTGTTCTCCACTCACGCCTCCACCACCACAACCTCGGCCACCACGTCGGTGCCCACCATCAGCATTCCCGTCAGCGCCATCCACGACCCGTACAGCAACGTCATCACCATCACGCCGTGCTTGGTCTTCAAGACGACCGCCACCGTGGCCGAGCAGATGCAGGCCCTGCGCCAGGACAAGAAGCTGGCCAAGCCGCTCGACCAGCCGACCGGCGCCCTCAGAGTCAAGAGACGCACCGACCTCAGCAAGCTGGGCCTGCCCGAGGCCAAGCCGGCTTCTGTCTCCAGGAGAAACGCCAGGGAACGGAACCGAGTCAAGCAAGTTAACCTCGGGTTCGAAACCTTGAGGGAGCATGTCCCCAACGGGAAGAAGAACAAGAAGATGTCCAAAGTCCAGACACTGAGATCCGCTGCCCAGTACATCAAGGACCTGTACACGATCCTACATGGGGAGCTGCCGGCCCTCGGCTCGCCTAACATGATAGAGGACCACGAGCCGGACAGTCCGCTGGACAACAGTGTCTGCTCCATGAGCGACACGGACAACGACGTGAGCGTCAGCAGCCCTGACACCAAAGTCCTGCAGGCTCAGCACCTGCTGCAGCAGTCAGGCTCGCCCCCCTCACCACACTCCCCCGTCACGTCCCCACAGACACCCCCACAGCCCCGACAGAAGGTGCTGCCGCTGATCTTGAAGAAAGAAAACATCTCCGTCCTGCAGCAGCAGCTGAGCAGACCCCAGGCGTCCCAGCCCATCAGGAGCCTGGCGGTCCTCAGACCCAGTCCCCTAGTGCAGGACAAACAGGCGCCCCGGGACAAACAGACAAGTCCCCTGGCACAGGAGCAACAGAACTTTCTCATGCAGCACGAGCAACTACGGCTCGCACTCCGACCTGTACAACAACCACAGCAGTCGTTACAACCACAGCTACAACAACAGCAACAACAACATTTCGACCCCGCCGCCATCCGCATGGATCACCTGACCTGCTCCACAGTCAACACCAGCGACACCAAACTCAGCTTCCTCTCTTCTAACCTCAACACGTCCACGTTGACCCAGCTGTCCCCTGTGTCCCTGAACGAAGAACATTACGAGATGGACTTGTCCCCTGACCACAACATCACGGACACGGACATGAACACCAGCAACGGCAACATGGATCTTCCGCCCTCCCCGTCCGCCCTACACCCCAGCGTCAATGACGTCAACATGAACGTCATTGACAACGACCCGGCCGATTTCAATCTTCTACAAAAATATTACAACTCAATCCACAACGAACAATTCCGGAACATCGATTCTAGTTTGATCTTTGACCCCCGCCCCCCGCACAGTGTGTACAGCGTGCCCGAGGGTCTGGTCCACTCGCCGGCCGCCAGCCTGTCCAGCACCAGCTCGACCATCAGCTCAGAGACGGACGTGGTCGGCTCGTGTGACTACGAGAGTGTGGACACGGCCCTGCTGGACATCTCTAACTGGATCAGTGAGCTGTGCAGCCAGAGCACACAGTGGTGAGTACTACACCTTAGTATAAGTAGAGTTTACATCTTACAGTGGCGGCAAGGTTGGTGCTAGTTTCATGGGCAGTTAACGGGGTTAGTTTCATGGGATTGTCATGGTCATTTGATGCTAGTTTGATTGTTGTTATGGTATGTGTACGTTAGTTTGATGGTGTTGATCCTGTAGTTTGGTGGTGGTGTTATTGTAGCTCGATAGCCGAACTACAATAACACTACCACCAAATGTGCCTTTGTTAGTTTGATGATATTGTGTTTGGTAGTAGTATTATTGTAGTTTGATAATATGCACTTATAAGTTTGGGGGGGGGGGGGTCGTAAACGTGCCTCACAACCTGGCCACTTCCATCTTTAGGCAGCAGGCGCGCCCCCTACTCTAGGCAACAGGCGCGCCCCCTACTCTAGGCAGCAGGCGCGCCCCCTACTCTAGGCAACAGGCGCGCCCCCTACTCTAGGCAACAGGCGCGCCCCTACTCTAGGAAGCATGAGCGCCCCCTACTCTAGGCAGCAGGAGCGCCCCCTCTGGCTGCTATCACCTCGTCCCCTCAATCAGTCCCTGACACTACAACTGTCACCACTATCAAGCCCCACTAAGCCGACACTACAGCACACGGCGATGACAACTAGAGAGCCATCACATTTAAACGACCCCCCCCCCCCCCCCCCCCCCGTCAGATACAAACCTAAATTCTCTACATTCTGTAATGGAACGTCTGAATAATGCGTTTTAGCTGCCATTCCTAGCTTTATAGTCTATGGTGTTGGGGGTTACAACAATACAAACACCAATAGCTAAAGGTGTGCCTGCCACACTCTATGCCTGTCACACTCTGTGCCTGCCACACCATATGCCTGCAACAGTTTCTGCCTGCCACACTTTGTGCCTGCCACACTCTATGCCTGCCACACTCTATGCCTGCCACACTCTATGCCTGCCACACTCTATGCCTGCCACACTCTATGCCTGCCACACTCTATGCCTGCAACAGTTTCTGCCTGCCACACTCTGTGCCTGCCACACTCTATGCCTGCCACACTCTATGCCTGCCACACTTTGTGCCTGCCACACTCTATGCCTGCCACACTCTATGCCTGCCACACTCTGTGCCTGCCACACTCTATGCCTGCCACACTCTATGCCTGCCACACTTTGTGCCTGCCACACTCTATGCCTGCCACACTCTATGCCTGCCACACTCTATGCCTGCCACACTTTGTGCCTGCCACAGTTTCTGCCTGTCTGACAACAAAGCTGTCTGATCTACCTTAATCCTGCTCCCCACACTCAACTCGTGGTTCAAACAAGACACCCCACCCCCACCCCACCTGTGTCGTGGGTGTTTCCTCGAGGTGCAGCACCCACCCCGCGATTACAATATCAATCTAACAAAGATAAAACACTAGAGTCGTGTCAATAGCCAACACGCCCGTATACTGGGGAACATGGGCTATTTGCACACTTTCTATCATTTCACTGACAGACGACTAGCAACACACGATTTATGGCGTATCCTAACTCATTTCACTGCAAGATCAAAACCGTTGGGAAACTTTGTGCACGTTTTAAACAATTTCAATCTTGCACACAGGGCTGTTACATTTCTACGGACACGTACGTGACATATGTGTTGTGTAACGTGACGATTCGTAACGCTACATGCATCGTGATCAGTGTGTTGTGTTTGGCTGTTGTTACCTCAGCTAAGGCTTTACACTTGAACCAGTTTACTTCTAGCCAAAAAGTTAAACCTGTTAACCACCCTATTACGGTTTGACAGACCTACCTAGCTGTCTTTGTTAAGACATGTTATCAGAAGGGTATCTTACAAAACATGAACACGGCGACATACACCACACAGACCACGGCGACATACACCACACAGACCACGGCGACATACACCACACAGACCACGGCGACATACACCACACAGACCACGGCGACATACACCACACAGACCACGGCGACATACACCACACAGACCACGTCGACATACACCACACACAGACCACGGCGACATACACCACACAGACCACGTCGACATACACCACACACAGACCACGGCGACATACACCACACACAGACCACGGCGACATACACCACACAGACCACGGCGACATACACCACACAGACCACGTCGACATACACCACACACAGACCACGGCGACATACACCACACACAGACCACGGCGACATACACCACACACATCCCTCACCAACTCTCTGTGCTACTCTCTACATCCCTCACCAACTCTCTCACCTTTCGCCAGTCTAAAAGAACAGTCCTGCGATATTTGAAATGTTTTGGGTCTGTACAATATTTGACTATATTTGATTTGACTTGGATAGCCTAATCAAATGACGTCATCGAAATGTGTGTGCCCATGTTTGGCTGACGTCATCCCGTCTATAACCACAAGTTTATCTGCTAGCTCTAGCGGCCACTGGTCGCCCTGACAAACGCCGCCTGTTGGCCCAGATAGCGGTGAGAGCAGGTAGTGGATCTCGGGGCCACTGGTATCCAAGGGGACGATCGCGGCTTGACAGAGTTTTTACCTGTGTGTACACCTGGCCAGGTAACGCTGGTCAAGCTGGCTCAGCCGCACCTTCTCTGTCAGATGGGGGAAGTCATTGATTTCATGACGTCACCTGATGATTTTTACCAGAACCTGCCAGGCTTAGATAGGGACATGTTCACATGAGATACCTCAGTGCCAATATTGGGGCTAACTATCTGTGAATGTGGTCTCCAACTCTGGCGTCAAGTGTTTAGCGCCCCTCACACCCCGCCACCAGCACCAGAGCTAACAAAACCCATCCAATAGCACCGTCTCACGTGATCTCGAGCTGAGTGACAGCGTTGACCTACAAACATCAGGAGCCCCATACACCTGGGCTTTCATTACATTTTTTAGACTGAAAATTACATTTTTGGTGGGGAATATTGCAGCACTCTCGGCTTGATTGCCGTCATAATTGTTTGATCTCAGTAAGTGCCCTCGTCCCCAGCCTCGTCCCCCGTCCCCAGCCTCGTCCCCCGTCCCCAGCCACGTCCCCCGTCCCCAGCCACGTCCCCCGTCCCCAGCCACGTCCCCCGTCCCCAGCCTCGTCCCCCGTCCCCAGCCACGTCCCCCGTCCCCAGCCACGTCCCCCGTCCCCAGCCTCGTCCCCCTGCCACACGGCCAGATGTTTACCCCATGTTTGATGTTATCAACTCGTGGTTTCTTCACTGGAACAAAATGGCTAGTGCTGGCGCTTTCTTATTCTAAAATGTGATAGGTACCATGTTCACGTCTTAAGGTTAGCAAATCAATTACTTGCAGCCACTATTCGCAATGTATAGAACAGGCAGTATACAGAAATACATAGTCTGCATCTGACCATCCGACATTGTTTAATAATTAGTGTGTGTGTGGGGGGGGGGGGGCGCTTGTCTCACCTGAACTTTAAAACACGGACGTGATTGTCTCTGTCAACAAATATTGTCTCCGTTATCCCTGTCAAACAATGTTGACCACCCATGTCAACAAATTATTTGGACCAAATCTGACGGTGTTAACAATAACTTGCAGAAGTACAGCAAGCTGACAACCTTTACTGTGTATGTCAACCACACCCCCCCCCCCCCCCTCCCCCACCAAAGCATTTTCCCTTCCCAATTTTTCTTTAACAGTCAACGCAACAAAATGAAATTATAACAACAAAGAATATCGTCGCAAGTTTTAATTTTTCAACGTTTTTAAAAAGTTTTCTTTTTTCGATCCAAGTATGATTCATAATTTTTTTTCTTGTTTTGGGAGACCATTTAAAGCGCTCGTATTGCTTTTTGTCGATTGCGAGATATGTTACCTCCCCTTCTCCCATGGCCGTGTGCGCGGCCTTACGTCTGTGTATCTAGACGCGTGGAGCTATGTGGCGGATGAATTTTTGTGCGAATAAAAGGGGTGCTATTTCTTGAGGGGCTGTTGTATTGTATAGGAAAGGGCAGAACGAGGTTAAGGCAGAGAGTTAGGCGTGTGGCCCGGTTACCGGTACAAATGAATAAGTGCCGGGAAATTTTAGAAGCTAGCAAGCTCAGTAACGTCGAGCGTGAGAGGCACACCGCCTTTGTTCATGTCGTGGGGAGGGGGTGGCTGGGGTGGGGGTATGGGCTGGTGGGGGTACTTATATTCGTGTTATTAAATAAGGGCTTTGACCTCGAATATACTAAACGTTTTGTATTCAAGTAAAAAAAAAACTTTTTTTTTTAATATTGAAATGGCTTCTGTTACCACGAACACAAAAGACATTTCAGTAGTTTTTTGATGGTGTGTATAGAACATAAGAAATGGGACGGTGCTCTATACAATGGGCATACACGTAGGCTACATACGCACGCATACTGAATATGGGTTTCTTTCTGTCATGTAAATAAGTTGGCGTTGCTTGAAATACTTAGCGCCAAGACCTAACCAAAACCACAACACTAACCATAACCCTAACCGAAACCTTAACCACAACCGTAACCCAAACCGAAACCACAACACTCACCACGACCTAACCATAATCCTAACCCTAACGGACGCTAAAGTGTACAGACAGATACGTGTTCATGCTAACGGAAAAGAGCTGTCTATGTGTTCCCTGTCACTGTTCCCTGTCACTGTTCCCTGCCACTGTTCCCTGCCACTGTTCCCTGCCACTGTTCCTTGCCACTGTTCCCTGTCACCGTTCCCTGCCACTGTTCTCTGCCACTGTTCCCTGTCACTGTTCCCTGCCGCTGTTCCCTGTCACTGTTCCCTGTCACCGTTCCCTGTCACCGTTCCCTGCCACTGTTCCCTATCACGAATCCCTGCCAGACAGAGCCCCAGGCTTACACAATTTCGAGCACCAAATTGCAGCGTGCAGCAACCGAGCGCTGGTGAGGGCAATAATTTGTGGAGTCGTGTAGTAATGGCACCTTGTTCTCCCTCGCATCTCAGCTATAATTACACCTTTAATAATTACACCTGTTATAATTACACCTTGTTTTCTTACACGCGCGGGGATACAGAGCGTTAAAATCTTACCTATTCATACCACGTGGTACTATTCATACCACGTGTCACCATTCATACCACGTGGTACCATTCATACTAGGCGGAGTAAGTAAGGTCGCGACCAGTTGATGAGAGTCGGGCACTGAGAAAATATTTGGAAGCGACTTTTGAGGTCACAGTCCGGAATTTGAGGGGGGGGGGGGGGGGGAAATGCTTGACAGATTTGTACGTTTCATTCTAGAAATCTTTAAAATGATTCCATGTTGCGCGCTTGGGTCGTTGAATACATAGATATTGAGCGTCCTGATCTTTTGATCTGCCCCGTGATGTTGTATGCCCGTGGCCTCCAATGGGTTAAATGGACGAGACGCTATTATCCTAACGATGGCGGCACAAAGCGGGCCCTTAGCGAGGGATATTTTAAGTTTTCAAATAGGTTTTTTCCTTCTAGCTTAGAGTGATTCATTCGTGCATAATAAGTAACCCCATTCACATTAGGGGAGGGGGGGGGGCGGTCTTAGACATGTAATATGGAGCATTCATACGTTCTGTTGGCTGTGGTGAGGTGGGGAGGGATGTGTGTGGTGGTGGGGGATAGTCATGTGTGTGAGGAGAGATGTGTATATTGTGGGGCTCGGGTGGGGAGACATATGTAAGGAGGAACTGTTAAGATTTGTAGGGATGGAGTGTAAAAGAGTGTAGTGAATGTGGCAGAGGATATATATATATATATATATATATATATATATATATATATATATATATATATATATATATATATATATATATATATATATATATATATATATGTGTGTGTGTGTGTGTGTGTGTGTGTGTTAGATAGTTGTCGATGGCTGTTAAACGTCTCTGAGAGCGAAGAACGAACTCTACCAGTCTGCTCCCACGCTACATTTTCCAATCCAGTTTTCATTGACGCCGTTTGATTGGATGAGCCGTTCACTGGATTGTGTTCGGTTGTTGGAGCTGTGTGTCGGGAGCAGGCGACAACAACGGGCATGTCAGATGGTTGTTTGGGGCTGTCAGTCGTGCCTGTCAGCTGCTATAGAGGCGGTGTGGGCCTGTTAACTGCTCTAGTCTACACGGATTATCGCCCACTGTTTGTCTATTGTTTCACCGCCAGACACGAAGATGAAATGTGTAGAGGATTAGACCAACTGGTGGGCTTTGTTAAGCTTGTATCCGGCACACACGTTTTTGTTGGTCGCTAGACTCCAGTCATTGGTCGCTAGACTCCAGTCGTTGGTCGCTAGACTCCAGTCGTTGGTCGCTAGACTCCAGTCGTTGGTCGCTAGACTCCAGTCATTGGTCGCTAGACTCCAGTCGTTGGTCGCTAGACTCCAGTCGTTGGTCGCTAGACTCCAGTCGTTGGTCGCTAGACTCCAGTCGTTGGTCGCTAGACTCCAGTCGTTGGTCGCTAGACTCCAGCCGTTTGTCGCTAGACTCCAGTCGTTGGTCGCTAGACTCCAGTCGTTGGTCGCTAGACTCCAGCCGTTGGTCGCTCGACTCCAGTCGTTGGTCGCTAGACTCCAGCCGTTTGTCGCTAGACTCCAGTCGTTGGTCGCTAGACTCCAGTCGTTGGTCGCTAGACTCCAGCCGTTTGTCGCTAGACTCCAGTCGTTGGTCGCTAGACTCCAGCCGTGGGCCGCTCGACTCCAAACGTCACCGCTGTAGCAGGAAGAACATAAAGTCCTGTGTACTGCCCAGGGCGCCAGGACCGGTCGCCACCCCGGCCATAGCGGATGGCCCCAAGAGAAGGTCTAAGTACTATTGGCAGTGGCTGTGAGAGGGCGACCAGAGACTCTTGGTCTGGGACGGTTTGGGTAGCCGCTTGTTGAGGAGATAACTCTGTCTAAATACGATCGGTTACTGAGTTCTGTTTACCTCGTCAAAAGCCATAAACCATGTTTTATTGCGGACATACGTCATAGCGTCTCCATGTCACGTGGTTGCCCTAAAGGTTTGTAAACAGATTTCCATACAGTATACGAGCACCCGATCTGATTTAGAAAACCCATGTTATCCGCTAGTTACTGTAGCACCCTAAATTTCACCGCTCAATATTTCAAAATCCCACGCGCTGTAAACGGCACGCGCCACTGTACAACAACCTGCTCCCGGCCATGACTGGGGGGGGGGGGGGGATTGCGTATAGACGCCTGTCTGTGACCCCACTCATTTCCCTGCCTTCTCAGTGCGCATGCGTGCTCCGTCAAATAAAGGGGCGTCTTACCGGGCATAAAATAAAAGGGTTTAAGATTTAATTGACAGATTGGTTTTGGTCCTGCACGACCCCCCCCCCCCCCCGTCGTTTTGTCTCGGCTAGACTGCAGTAGGGCTGCCATCACGCAAGGGAAGAGGGGGGGTAGTGTTTAATGACGTCTAGTTCCAGCTAGCTTATGGCTTACTATGGCTGCCGTATTCTTTTTAACACGAGCAATCAAAATAAAATTGGTAAAAAAAATCCAAGTTAAAAAGCCATTGGTTGTGGCAGAGCTCTAGAAATGAGCGCCAAGATCTAGAGAAGATATCCCATAATACCTGCTGGGCCCATCCACGGCGGGCCAGCTAAGTCCTCGACAGCCATCGGACAAATGTCCTCTGATCAAGTGGACAAATGTCCTCGCATGTTGGCCATCAGCCTGTTGTAAACCTAAGAAGCTCTAGTCATCAGACAGAGAAAATAGCCAGAAGTCTCTCCATGGAAACAATTCTCGACCAAATAATGTTGAAATCTTGAAGTATTCTCCCATTCTTTCATACCTCCATCCTAAGGAAAACATGGCCAACGGGAAATCCACTATTACCCGGCATGGACCGGGAAATCCACTATTACCCGGCATGCCGATAAACCCGTCCACTTTGAGCTCGAGCTTTAGTCTGACGTGCAACAAAAGACGATACGGGAGCTGTCTTGTGGCCAGGTGCCACCATTCAAACCTGGCTGGACACATTGCATCAGGCTTGTGAAACAACTCACCAGAGTTGATCTGTTCTGGACTTTAGTTCCCTTACATATAATAGCCGGCTTTCTGGTCTGCAATGTTCACTCTAAAGGAAAAATCCTATATCCTTTTCAAACACCAGCACACAAACTACATGTTGCACACGGGCGTATAGGTGGTGCCACGCCAGATCTCTGTGCAGGCCCTATGGATGTCCATCACGGCACCTCCCTCATTGAGTGACGTCCCCGCCCACCAGCCTGCTGTAAGTGACTAGGTCGCCTTGACATTGACTAGAATCACGTGACAAAGTTGTTGCATGACCTTCTCTCCTAGTTTGTGTGATGAGAAGTTCCCTGGGTTGATCGCATTCATCATGTGGAGCAGATTGTCAGGTGTCCAGGTTCTTGTAGCCACGTGTCCCATACAAACACCCAGGGGCCATACCAAACACGGCGACAGCAGGTCTACCAACACACGACAACAACAAACCATTCAGCAGTGTCTGACTTATGAACTCGGCTGTTTTTATCCTCTCATTTACCCGACAACACCGCCGCTATTGTTCCACCTTTGTTAGGTCACGTGTTCATTCTCCCACCTCTTCTCACATTAACCAATCTGCTAATATTCTCTTCGCTTTTTAAAAACTGAAAGTGGTTTTATGCTGTAGTTGGATTATGTGCTGGAAGGCCGGACCCTTCCTACATCTAATTAAGGCCCGAAAGATATGCCCTTTTACCGTTTTTAGTGAAACTACCATACCGAAATCGAAAACTTGAGGGGGGGGGGGGGGGGGGGGTGGAAATCAAAAGTTTCAGGGGGGGGGGGGGTGCAAATAAAAAATTTGAAAGTTTGTCACCGGGAAGGGTCGCTACGTCTCTGGGGGGGGGGGGGGTGACACCATTAAGTGCCGCACCGGGTGACACCCGACCTCGCTACGCCACTGCTGTGGAGTGTAACTACCATATCTGCTGTTTATGATCCCTTGGTTTTTCTTAATAAAAAAATAAATGAAAGTAGCAAAGGTCAATGTAATTCTATCGCTATTAAAACGTCATTGGGGGTAGCATGAGGGACGAATGAGTCTAGTATTGCTGCTTGAAGTGTGTGTAGTGGGGGAGTGAGGGGATAAGAGAGACCATGTCGCCACTAGTGGCGTCCCCTTGTGTCAACAACACATGTTGGCATGTAAAACATGGACATGTCCGGATTGTATCTAACTTATGACCCACGGACACCTGTATCTAACTGGTTACAGGTAGACTTTGGAAGCCACTAGCCACTAACCCATATCTCTTCTCTCCTCAGACTTGCTGCTAGATTTCTCTCATCAAAAGATGAACAACTACGAGACCGCTGAACGCCAGTCATATTTACTGCAAGCTGGGCCACTGCCCTGTACATCAGCCAGTTGACCATCTCCTGGGCCAAGTTGGTAAACCACGGAGCCAAGTTTTGTTGGGCCAGAAGTGGTGGAACAGACGGAGCCACAGAGCCAAGTTTTGTTGGGCCAGGAGTGGTGGAACAGACGGAGCCACGGAGCCAAGTTTTGTTGGGCCAGGAGTGGTGAAACAGACGGAGCCATAGAGCCAAGTTTTGTTGGGCCAGGAGTGGTGGAACAGACGGAGCCACAGAGCCAAGTTTTGTTGGGCCAGGAGTGGTGGAACAGACGGAGCCACAGAGCCAAGTTTTGTTGGGCCAGGAGTGGTGGAACAGACGGAGCCACAGAGCCAAGTTTTGTGACGGCTGTTGGGCCAGGAGTGGTGGAACAGACGGAGCCACAGAGCCAAGTTTTGTGACTGCTGTAGTTAATGACTTGTCAATCTGAGCTGGCTTGACTTCTGTCCTTCAAGTCTCCTGTAAGTTTGAAATGAGATTGCCATAAAAATTCCAGCCAGCAACATGTGTTCAGCGACACAAAAGACGGCAACAGCTTGCCGCGGCCAGCCTGGGAACCAGAGGTCGGGGCTGGTGGGCTGGGGTGGGGTGGGATAATATTTGCGGGTGGGGGAGTATAAATAGGTTCGAGTAGCTTGTATTTGCCGGCTGTCGGTAGTTCAAACATGAATCGTATCGGCCTGGCCAAAGACAAAAAAAGTGGGTGGATTAAATTGGCTCAGTGTTTTACTTCTGTCCGGGTCTGTACGGCTGGGGACTTGTAAAAATATGGTCGGGGGTTGAGTAGGAGCCGGCTGTGTGCTGTTAGCTGGCTGCCATAGGGCCCACACAAGTAACCTCAACCTACTGGCTAGCTTTTTTAATACCTAGACTTGGTCGATGGCACAATTTTATTTTATACGATAGTATAACATAATTTTTTAAAATATGTTTTAGTAATGATAAGTTTAAAAAAATCTAGTTTAGTATGAGAATTTTTAAATTGTAAAACGATAAAATGCAGATGTGATATGCCCATAGAGTGAATGTGGAAAATAAATTCAGATAAAATATTATTGCAAATTTGTGATACGCTGTCCAATACGATTTGAATAGAGGGGACATTGAGCCAAGATAATGTGGGTTCCGCCAGTCATTGAACCAGTGAAAATGTTTATGGGTTGCGCCCCATATCTGGCCCTGAGTATCCGCCCCTGCCCGCTGTTGTTCAAATAACGACAGATGGCGACACCGTCTACCTGGGGGACAGTATTAGATCTAGGACGAAATAACAGGCTTTTCTCTCAATCTACGCTCTATTTCATATTCCATGCCAGCCTTCTTTGTGTGCTCTATAGCACACATAGGACGGTCTCTGATTAGATGGGTAGCCTATATGGAGTTTACATTTGCTAACGAATCGATTTTTTTAAATTTGCTGCGACGGAAACCACACGTTATAAAAGTGTGAGCAGAGAGTCGCTCCACCCAACTTCCGGTCCTCCTGTGTCCGACAGTTTGGCCGTCAGCTCGCGGTGGTAAAAGTTCCCATTGATAGGCCGGTCAGGTGACCGTGGGAACACTCGCACACCACAGGCTAAAAATAGACGGGGGATACGAGTGCCGGCCCCTCCTGACAAGCGTTCAATGAAACTGGACGACAAAGCCACGGCTCATCCAGGCTTTGGCCAGTAGAGATGTGGTCAGCCTTTCACGTTATGTCCAGCACTGTGTCAGCCGGCCGGTCAATTTCTCGTCTCACCCCCCCCCCCTGCCTTGAGAAAGTCCTACATGAGGTCAGTTTGTATTGCCTTGCCTGATCTTTAGAGGACCTTGTGTCTGGTCATTGGACCTTATGACCTTACAGTGTCTAATTCTAGTCTGTCCACAGACGCTGCTTATTCTGTGAGGTCAGTTTGTTAGGTCAGTAGATGACCTCCACATGGCATTTATTATTGTGTACAGCCTTTATTTAACCCCACCCCCCCCACCCCCCGACCACTGCCTTATGTACAGATTTTTGAGGCCTATTATGTCATGTTTTCCCCATCCCATTCCCGACTCTGTGAGCGTAACTAGCCCAGAGCCTGACTAATTTATTTGTGCTCAGCCACCACTTGTGTTCACTGTAACATTAGGGGGAATCACCCCATTTTTTATACGCATTTTTTATACATGACTTATTCTATTTTTTGATGCTGCAGCTAATTAGCATAATTTATACATTGTACTTAAGTCTATTTTTAGAACTGCATGTTTTCTACACTTGTTTTTCTACTATTGAACTGTGAGTGCCTTGAATGGAGACTTAATATTTTTTTATGCTGAAATATTTATACAAACATGTATTTACGTAAAGCATTCCCGGACCAGACTTGTTAATTGTACATTGTGTTGTTGATTCAATTGTGTTCATATAAATTGTTGACTCCTACAAAAGTGTCTTCAGATAAAATTATGTTGACCTTTAGAAAATTGTGTTCAGATGTTTTTACCCCTACAAAAATTGTGTTCAAACTATTTTATTTACCTATATGAAGTTATTTCAGATTAATTATAAACATCTACCTAATTGTTTTCATGTGAACTGTTGACCTCTACCAAATTGTGTTCAGATAAATGTTGCCACCCCCCCCCCCCCGCCCGACACAATATGTTCATAATACAGCGGCTGGTCTTTAGCAAAAAATGTTTGACTCCCGACACCCTCCCCCGACACCCTCCCCCGACACCCTCCCCCGACACCCTCCCCCGACACCCTCCCCCGACACCCTCCCCCGACACCCTCCCCCGACACCCCCCCCCCGACACCCTCCCCCGACACCCCTCCCCCGACACCCCCCCGACACCCCCCCCCCGACACCCTCCCCCCGACACACCCCCCCCCCCGACACCCTCCCCCGACACCCCCCCCCCGACACCCTCCCCCGACACCCTCCCCGACACCCTCCCCCGACACCCTCCCCCGACACCCCTCCCCCGACACCCTCCCCCGACACCCTCCCCGACACCCCCCCCCGACACCCCCTCCCCCGACACCCTCCCCCGACACCCCCCGACACCCCCCCCCCCCCGACACCCTCCCCCGACACACCCCCCCCCCGACACCCTCCCCCGACACCCCCCCCCCCCCGACACCCTCCCCCCGACACCCTCCCCCGACACCCTCCCCCCGACACCCTCCCCCGACACCCCTCCCCCCGACACCCTCCCGTCCCCACCACTTCACCTTCCTTGAAATCTTTTTATTTACTAGTTTTATTCGTACATTCCCTCTGTTTACATTCCTTAAAATTCCCCCAATTGTTGATATTCCCCTCCAATTGTTAATATTTTTATATATTGTCCAATTATTGGCATTCGCATATATTTACCAACTGTTGATATTCCCTAACATTCCCCACTGTTGATATTCCCCAATATTCCCCACTTGTTGATATTCCCCACCATTCCCCACTGTTGATATTCCCCATATTTCTGCCCGCCGAATGGAAGCCCGGCTTTTATTCTCTGATACCGCCTTGCATTTACCTACAAAACAGAACATTCCAGAAATGTCTTTGATTCGACTTGTGTACCAGTAAAACTTGATAGGTCTGACATCGTCTGATTTGTGTGTAACTAATGTCAATAATTTCAAACCAGCTGTCTACTTGAAGTTGTGTGCTAGACAATGTTTCAGGATTAAATGATGGCATATTTTACAGAAAATGTCGGTTATAATTAGGTGATATTTGTGTGTGTGTGTGTGGTTTTTATTTGGAAAAAACTTAGACATGGGAGTGTGAAGTGAGCAGTCCACGGGCTGTGTGACTCCAATAGACAATAGCAGTCAGTGGACTCTCTGACTCCTTATGTTTCGTGTGACCAAATTGTGATCCGTAAAGGAAAGAACTTTCTGCCTTAATGTATCTGGTTAAGCTAACTTGACCCAGCTTATAGATCTAATTGTGTCTTCCATTTTCTTCATTCTATCTGACATGTATCAACTTGACCAACTTGTTGTTAAAGACTTGTAAATTACTGTATGATATACCTAATGCAACATTTTACATTATTATTTCAATTAAAAAAATTATAACAATTTCAGTGGTTCTGTTGTTATAGTTGAATGTGGAATGTCAGTGATGTGAGTCTGTGACAACACATGCCACAACAATGACGTGACGTCATAGATACTGGCAAGTCTATCGTCGTGACCAAACTTTCCGTGGGGCTACCCTGAGGGCGTGATCGGACCATTGCTAACCCCGAAAGTCATATGCCGCAGTCACTCTACTTCATCTGCTCTACGGGGCGCCAGGCCGTAAAGGGTGAATGTCTACAGACATTAGATCTAGATGGCGTGTCGACAGCTGTTACATGACGTGGAGTGGACACGTCTTTGATTGACATGTCAACATCAGGGGGGGGGGAGGCTGTAGATAAGTCTAAGGAGGATGTAGAAATCTTAGCGGAATCCGAAAGCCAAATAATAGCAGCAAGTGCACCACCTACTTCGCGAACCGGCGGCCAGATTACAAAGTGAGATCTTTCGGGCTTCCGCCATAACATACATACGTAGGCCCTATATATATATGTGTGTGTGCGCATAAATAAATTATATATATATATATATATATATATATATATATATATATATATATATATATATATATATATATATATAGGGATTGATTTAGATAGATAGATAAGCCAACTGGTCTCTTGTTTCAATGTGTGCACATTTTTAAATGGGGCTGATAGATCCTGTTGATGGTGGCTACCTCTGTATGAATTCGCGTAAAAGGGGCGATGTGGACCCGAGCAAATGTGGTCACCTTTACTCACATTTATCTTGTCAACTAATTCCCCCTTGGATGGTAGCGTGGGTCGGGGGGGGGGGGTTGATGTAGGGGGGAGGCTTTGTTTCG